TGGGCTGTGGGGTTGGGTGTGTGGTCCCTGGTAGGCTGTGGGGCATGTGGTGGGCTGTGGGCTTGTGTGTGGGGTCCCTGGTGGGCAGTGGGGTTGTGCGTTGGGTCCCTGGCAGGCTGTGGGGTCCCTGGCAGGCAGTGGGGTTGCGTGTGGGTCCCTGGCAGGCTGTGGGGCATGTGGTGGGCTGTGGGGTTGTGTGTGTGGTCCCTGGTGGGCTGTGGGGTTGTGTGTGGGGTCCCTGGTAGGCTGTGGGGCATGTGGTGGGCTGTGGGCTTGTGTGTGGGGTCCCTGGTGGGCAGTGGGGTTGTGTGTGGGGTCCCTGGTGGGCTGTGGGGTTGTGTGTGGGGTCCCTGGTAGGCTGTGGGGCATGTGGTGGGCTGTGGGCTTGTGTGTGGGGTCCCTGGTGGGCAGTGGGGTTGTGTGTGGGGTCCCTGGTGGGCTGTGGGGTTGTGTGTGGGGTCCCTGGTAGGCTGTGGGGCATGTGGTGGGCTGTGGGCTTGTGTGTGGGGTCTCCAGCAGGCTGTGGAGCACCCAGCGGGGCAAAGGGCTGTGAGTGAGGGCCCTGGCAGGGTGCAGGGTTTTAGGTGGACTCCTGGCGGGGGGAGCTGTGCGTGAGGAGCCTGGCGGGGTGCGGGGCTGGCTGGGAGGTGCTGAGCCAGTGGTGCGGGGCCGGGGCACGTTTGCCAGCCCCAGCGAGGCTCGGCGAGGCCTGACCGCCCGCTCTGGCCTCTGTGTTTCAGAACAAAATAGTAGATCAGTGCGAACGGCTCCAGCTGCAGAGCGCTGCCATAGCCAAGCACATGGCCGAGGTGCTGCCAGCCAAGAACCGGAGCGTCCTGGTAATTCACTTCCCTTTGTCCTAGAGCAGCCCAGCCCGGAGCGTGCTGGCCCAGCACGCCTGCCTCTCCCTGCTGACACTCCCATGGCAGAGGTACTGCACTGCCGAGGGTGACCTCGGGGGGCTGGTCCGTTTGCACAGGTTGTCCTTGTCCCCCTTAACTGACAGCTGTTCTGCTTGTGCAAGCTGAAGCTCCACTCCGTTGCATGAGTCAAGCAGGCAGGTGAGGCGCAGCATGAGCGTGCTGTGGCTTTCAAGGCACGGAGAGGCGGAGCGGGTGCCTGGTTGCCCAGTGACTTGGGTTTGGCTTGCGGGGGTGGCTGTGGAGCTGCACTGTGCTGTTGAGCGCTCTCCATCTCTGTCTCAGCGGGTATACAAACAAAAGATGTCTTTGTGTCAGTGTAATACTGTTAAACGTTTCACTAAGCTCAGTGTCTCTTGGATCCCTCCTTTTGTCTGTGTCTCACTGACGCTGAACGATGACAAGAGACGGTTCTGGTCATCGGCCAGTTTTCTGTTAATAGCACTTGTCTCCTCTTGCTGGAGTGATCCTAGAAGATCTGTTGAGGGAACGTGCTTTGGTCTGTTGCAGAGCCGCAGGTTGTCATTTATGTACCATGGTGGTTAGCAGTCACTGTAGAGTTACCCTGACAGCTGGTTTAGCCAGGAGGCAGTAAGCAGGTTTGGGACTGGTTATCCCACTCACCTGCTTGCATCATGATGATTAGTGTGGCTTGGGCTGAATTAACATGATAATCTTGAAAGCTGAGCCCACAGAAAGCTGGCAGAGGCTGTTGGTGCTCTTGTTTGGTTTGAAGCAAGACTGATGTTTCTTCCCTCTCCTTGCTCTGCCAGAGCGCAGCCAATGAGGCACGGGAGTTGGTAATCCAGAGGCTGATCTTTGTGAGAAACACGTGTGAAAATGAAGAACAGCGACTGCTGGAGAGGGTGCACACGGAGGAGGAGCGGGCACACCAGAGCATCCTGACACAGCGGGTGCACTGGACTGAGGCTCTGCAGAAGCTGTCTGCCCTCCGAACCTACCTGGTGGACATGATCACCAACCTGGATGACCAGGGCCTGGTGGTAAGTGCTGCTTCTTGTACTGAGAGACAGGTCAGTCAGCGTAGAAGTGACCTTTCTAGAAGTCAGACTTTTTGTCATGAGGCTCAAATATGGTGCCGAGGAGCTTGCTGCACTGACAGCAAAGAAGACAGAATTGGACAGGGTCTGCCTTTGCAGATCTAGCTCAAGGGAACCCCTTCAGCTGCCACTGACAAGCCCCCGTGGTTTCTCGGTGGTTCCTGGGGTGTATGTTCTGCATGGTTTTGCCTTTGGGTGCAGTGAGGTTTGGTTGTCAGAACTACCATCTGCGCTCAGGTCTCCAAGATGTTGGCTTGCTGCTGCCTGCTCAGGCACCTTTCAGGCTTGACAGCAGGGACAGAAACAGGTTTGGCTTATAGACTGAGAGCGGGAGAAGCCCATTATATCTGCTAGACTGTGCCGTGAATTCTATAGTATTTTGTTTAGTTTTAATCACAATGTGATCTTTGGGGCATCTGCAGCATTTCTTAAAAGTCTATCTTGCCATCGAAAATACCTCTGTATGTTTATCCTGCAAAGCAGCCTGTGTTTCCCTTTGCTCAATATTTTTTCTGGTTATTAAGTTGTCTGGGTTTACCGAGGCAATTGCTTTTGGTTTAGATCTGAGCAGGTAGGTATTCTACCTCCTCCTCCGTGCTCTTGGCCACTGCTCATCACACGTAACTTTTTAAAGAGTGGCAGAAGCCCTGCTTGGAAAGCAGAATTGGTCCCAAGGATAGAACGTAATTGTCTATTCCTTTGATGGTAAGCGCAATGTCTGTCCTGCCCAGGCATCATAGCCGTTTGGGTTGTGGCCTGGCTGTAGAGAGTAGAAGTTGGAACACACAGAAGTTCTGTCAAATGCCAGTGGGGAAAAGAACAGTGAGACCCTCTGTTTCTTCTTTTGCCACATAGTGGAGGGGAAATAGAGATGACAGATGATTCTCCTTGTTGGATTCTTGGTGTTGGTATTTGTGTCTATCAGGAACCAATACACATGGTGTCGTCGGGAAGGGCTCATAGGTTCACTGTGCAGCTCTGTATTTGGGAGCAGGGTGTATGTATATTTTTGCACCACTTTGATGGTAGGACTATCCCTTGAACAGTGTGAATGCAGCATCGTCAGAAGGTACAGAAATAGATGGAATTGATCCCAAGTCTCTTGGCTTAGGTTCTCTAACCCATGTAGCATCAGTGCCACACTTGGATTAGAACCTATGCAAAAATGCATGCTTTTTCTGGACAGGTTTTGGCTAGCTAATACAGGCTCTACTGTGCAACCAAAATGAGCTGTTGGGGTAATAATAGAAGAGTGCCTGGCATGTAAGCAGGAATTTCCCCAAGTTTTTTCAATACTTTGAGGCCCTTCCCTTGCGATAGTTGCTACATGCCCTTGCTGCCCAGTGCAGTTGCATGGACCTCTGGGGTCAGACGACTGGGGGGGGGGGGGGGGGGCGGGCACATGGCTGGTGGGGGGGGGGGGGGGCTGGCACATAGCTGCCACTGTATTAAAAATAGAGTTTTGTGTTTGTTTTTTAAACAGCTTTGTTGTAATAGGGCTGATGTGTTACAGGGAAGATCAATGTCTGTGTAAAGGGTTGGGTAATTCATCTGCCCCACAAAGGCACTTTTCCTGTTCATCTGTTCTGAAGAAGGCGTGAGGATGTTAGACCAGCAGGACTGCTTTACTTCTTATCAAAAGCTCTCAGGGTTGTTTGCTGTAAGCACAGGATGTTCTTGCAGTGTGCCCTAATGGGGTGGGGGAAGAGGGAGGGCACGGAAGAGAGTCTGACCAGCAAACTGACAGCACTGGGGTTTTCACACTTTGGCTAAGGGAGAGGCGCAGCAGTAAGCGGCTCGCAGATGCAGGCAGCCTGGTGTGTACCAAAGGGTTTGGAGACGGATCAGATTCTTTACACTTCCAGAGACCTTCTACCTGCTTTAGATCTCCCATGTGTTTCCCTTGCACCAAATGATCCAGCTGCACTTACGGTGCTCTGCTCTAACAGTGCTTGCGTTATTCAGCAGAACTGTGCTCTGGCCACTGGCAGGCTTTTGTCTAGAAGTCCTGATGCCCTGCTAGAGCCGCTGTCATCCAGTCACCCAGTCCCACTGGCTCAGCAAAAATTAGCCCTGGACACAATGGAAGATGTGTCACTCTCGGGCATTCCCACTCTTTTTTCTGAGTGAAGGAGTAAAAAAGTGCTGCAACTAAAGAACATATATGTTGGACACCTTCCCCCGCTCTGCAAGGCCAAGGTTGGGATGAGGAGTTGCTTTCTTTGAGAAAGGAAAGAGAGCAGCGCTCCCTGGGGTGCAGGCCATCAGCAGAAAGGCACATGGAGGGAGCAGGCCTTTCTGACGTGTTGCTACAAAACACGCAGGATGTGGGGCGTCGGGGTCTCCTGCTGCAGGTGAGCTGACTGCAAGGACTCTCTGCAGCTGTAGGAGATGCACTGGAGCAGCTCATAGAGGCTCTAAGAGTGGGGATGGAATAGTCAGAAGAGCTGGGGAAAGGAGGCCTGAAAAAAAGGGGGGAGGGTTCTCCCCCTGCTGTGTCTGGTGGGTCTTCTCTTTGCTCCAAGTTTGGTTTCTCAGGGCATCCCTCCCTGGGTGGTGTGGGGGTGGGCAGGTTTGGTGCGGGGGGGGGGGGGGGGGGGGGGGGTTGTGATGCCCCTGAAGAGCTGTAGTCCTTGGAAGCGCTCGGCCTGTGTTTGGGATTTTATCTGTAGGAATTTCAGCTGTGATGACTCTTTCTCTCTTTGTCCACAGCATGCAGAGCAAGAGATCTTCGAGAGGTTAGTACCTGGCCGTTCCTTGGCCTTTTCCTGATCTGTTCTCCAAGCTTGGCTGCACCGTCCTCAGCTCCCGCTGTGAGCAGCACACCATTGCCCGGGCAGCAGGTGACACCCACTCTTTCTTTTTTGTGCTGCTTTTGTTGAGGACAGACCAAAGAGATACCAACATGTCCTGTGCTGCGCTGCAGCTCAGGCAGAGACCTGGCACCTAGAATCACTGGAGACCAGGACACCCCCAGTCTCCACAGGGGCACTGGCAGATGCTCTGGTGCTCACTTACAGGAGTCCTTCTGTAGCTCCTTAGAAGGCTCCCTGGGAGCAAACATGTCCCTGGCTGATTGACAGTATGGTTGTCCACCTGGAAAACTGGCATGCTGCATGCCTGGAGAACTGCTGGCACGGCATTGCCTGGAGGGGTAATGAGTGCAAGCTCTGTGCTCACACTGCCTCTTCCTGAGCAGAGACCCTTTGCACAATATCTGTGAATGGAGGACCAGGTGCAGATGTTGTTATTTCTGAAGGTTGTCTCTTTATGGAGCGTTACTAATGTTGGACTGCCCTACCTTGTGAAGGGAGTTTGGCGGCCAGATTTTTATAGGCGTTTCATTGGCTGCTACAACGGCGCTAACCAGCACTGTTGGATTCTGCTATACAGAGACCTTCCAGGAGTATTTTTGCCTGGAGCCTGCCTGTAGAGAAAAAGAAGTGAACTGCAGCACATCACCAGCAGCCAGTGCCAGAGCCTCAGCCTTTACTTAAACAGTGAGTTCCATGTGTGTGCTGCAGGCTGCAGGAACCTGTCAAGCCCTTAATCTCCTTGCTACGCTCTATGAAACCTCCTGAAGTGCTGGCTTGCTCTCCGGTAGCATCCCCCTTTGCTCTAACAATAAGGCTTTGTTGACAAAAGGCCTCTCAGGGAAATCTGATTCTCTCACCACAGCCTGTTCATTGTATTCCTCTTGTGTCTTGATGGCCGGACTCAGACCCTTTTATTCTGTGTCAGCTGAGTAAGGAAGCTGTTGACTCAGGCTACCAGGGATTGTATTTTAAAACACTGAAGTCTTCTCAGAAGTGCCTGTAATCAAAGCCAACCGAAAATATCAGCAGGCAGAGCTTGTGTAGAAACCCTGCCTTCCCCCCAGCATAGTTTTTCTGCAAGAAGGGGTGCTCTTGCAGCTCTCCAGCTCATATTTCTATAATACTTCCCAGTGATCTTTATAAGCACCTCCCAGCTTTGGTCAATAAATCAGTGTTTCAAAATAACCCTTGTGTTCCTTTGCTAGGACAGAGGCAGCGGAGGGAATCTTAGAGCCGCAGGAGTCTGAGAAGTTAAACTTTAATCAGAAGTGTGTCCAGAGTCCACTGCTGCACCGATTATGGGCCTCTGCTGTTCTCTGCTGCATTGCAGGTCAGTGTCTTGCTCAGGTCTCATGCTCTCTGGGGATTCCTGCATCAAGGTCATTCTTTTTGTGCCCAAAGAAACATCCTGATGCTATATCTGCCCAGTGCTTAAAAGCAAGGGGATATTGGGACTAAACACGCAGCTTCAATCTGTGCTTCAGAATTTGTGTACAAACATGTGCAGTGAGCCACAGAGACAACTGCTTGCGAGCAAGGATCTGCCCCAGGGAAGCAGTCGCTGTCCCTTGCGAGAGGGAAGCTGTACTGCCCTGGCTTAGGCTGCTCCCAGCTGCGAGGCCGTGCGAGAAGAGGAGCTGCTAAGCAGATGGGCAGCACAGGCTCGGCTCTGCTCCTGCTGCTGGGTGCAAGCTGGCCCAGGACCCAGCCTGGAGGGAGGCTTGGCCTCGTCTCTCTCTGCCGCCTTCGAAGCCACGGAGCACTCGCTGCTGGTGGGCATGGGAAAGATGAGGCGGCTGAGGGGTGAATCCCATCTCCCTGCTTGGAGGGGCACGAGTCTAGCCCTGAGCAGGGTCCAGCCTGGGAGCGAGGGCAGCATACGTTGCAAGGGGGCTGCTAAGTGGGGTCAGGCATGCCTGTGTCCTGCCACCCCTGCCCAGGCAAGGGGACAGTCTGGGGCCTCCTGCCCTGTTTGCTGTCCCAGCCTGTGCTATTTGCTTGGAGCCCCCCAGGCCAGGAAGGCAGCAGTGAACTCACCTGTGTAGTATTATCTATAAGAAGCTCTAATGTGCCAAAAAGAGAAATAGATAAATGCAATAACTTTATGATTGTAAGCTAAGGTGGTGGCTGTGCAGGAGCTGGCAGTTTGTTGGAAACACCTGGGATCTGTGTTTCAGTTCAGCTCTTGCTGTAAAGCTGAGGTGGCATCAGAGGCATTTGTCAGGCTGTCAGTGTGCTCAAGATACCATTTTTACCAAGTTGGTGTCTGCTCTCTTGAATAGTGAGAGACGACCTCCTTCCGGCAGTGATCTGCTTGAACTGCTGATAGTGAAATGTTTGCTTTTAGTATTATTTCCAGGCCATCGTTAGGGCACTTCAAATTTGTTTGTTCCTCGGGGTGGCGGCATCCATCCTTCATAATTTGGAAAGATTAGTCCTGAGTACTACCCGATGAACAATGTTTGGGGTGAGCTTCCCAAAGGTTTTGCGATAACCTTTGATTTTTTTGCTTTCAGTTCCCTTTTGAAGGGAACTGTGTGCTTCTGACTTGTATTGCTCTAGTGTTCCTAAGCGTTGAGAATCTGTGCATACCAGATCATATCAGCGTTTGTACTACAAACTCTGATGTTGCTCTCTCTTTGCAGTTTGGTTTTGCCTGTGCCTAAGACCTTTCTGTTCTGAGTCTTTGGTTACTGACAATGATGCAAATCGTGAAGTTGTACCTTGACAAAATTGAGCAGGTTCTCAGGGGATGTTTTAAGCCATCCAGGCAGTCAGGAAACCTTTACCTTAATTCTCTTTGTTGTGACATGTTTTTTTATAGATTCTTTTGCCAGTAGCATACTTGTCAATTGTAATGATTGTAAGGCTTTCAGTCCTAGCAGTGGGTCTGTCGATGCATCCGTTACACAGAAATTTCACTCTGACTTTTTTTTTGTTGGTGGTTGCATTTAGCGTGTCATTATTTATGTGCTGGGGATGCCTGCCATATCTGAGCTAATCTCACGAATCCACAGTCCACCCAGGGCATAGCCTTAAAAATGTAATGTTAACTGCAGTGGTCTGAGCTTTCATTAAGGGACAGCAATGTTGTTTTCTTTAGTGGTCCCTCCTCCCAAAGACAGCTGAATAAGTGACAGTCTTGTCTGTTTGCTTGAAAAAAGTTAATTTCTAGCCTTGGCAGTTGGCCCCTAAAGACTCTCCAACTTGGAAACCAGAAGGCAAAAGAATCTGTATTTCATTGCCTCAAAAATAAACATGGTTCCTTTGATCTCTTTATTTGGCGGCTAGCTTCTGTACCGCTAGTGTTTGGGGTTGGCAGCGCAGGTCTGGGAGGGATCTCGGTTCACAAGCTACCTACGTCAGTCCTGCTGGGGGGCAGGAAGTAGGTGGTGAGACTGACTACAAACTAGAATGAGTAAACTCTCTGCAGAGGTGACACGTCTTGTAGCCTCTCTCCTTTTAGCAGGTTGTGGGTTGTTAGAAGCAGGGAGCTAATTACTCTAAAATACACAGATTAAAGCTGTCCCAGGTAGCTGAGATGTTGAGCCATAGCATGGTGATGTTCTTCTGCCTGGCCCCAAGCACCAGGCTGGGTCCTGATTTCACCCTGGTGCCTAAATCTAGATAAGAGGATTTTAATTTCAGATATGGGAGATTTCAGATTGGAAGTAGGATTTTTAAAAGTAGTAAAGTGTGCTGCAAGTAACATATACATAATTAACAGACAGATGTTAACTTACCTACTCAGCAGCGATCCTTTCTCTAAAGAGACAAGGCTATTCTGACAGGTACTATACTGATGGGGGCAGCCCAAATAAAATAGATTTTGAGATGAGAAGAATCCCTGGTGGAATTCTTCATCGGCCTATATGAGAATATCAGAAGGGCAGATTTAATCATGACAACAAAACATTAGTCTGTGTGGGAAAACTTACTAATGTAAATTGTTCTGCAAATTATACCAGCACTGCTCCTTGCTTGGATGCTCTTTTGGAATCATTTCTCTGATGAAGTTACACTGGTGTAGTCAGGTTGGTATTTCCCCATGCAGGTGATCCCTGTACATGGACACCAAAACGCAACGTTGTACCGAGCCTGGATGTGTGTTGCCCAATATGAGGCTTGGTGCCACCTTTTTCTCAGTGCAAGTCTCACACTGCTCCATTTTCTCTGGATTCATAGCAGTGTTTGGCTTCCTGGAGAGTCAGCCTTCAAACGGGCAATGTGAATGAGCTGCAGAGACGTATGAAGAGCATGGTACGGCAGGCAGGCATGCTGCAAAGGATTTGGCCAGGGCTCAGTGAAATAAATCATCAAGCGAATGAGGTTATCCGCTTCAGCTGAAAGGGGATGCTGCCTTCAGCACCTCTTTCTGCTTGCTGTTGCCCACAACAGCTTTCACTTAACGTGCAAGTTTGCCACGTTTTGCATATGTGGCCCTTCCGCTTTGCACTAACCGACACTTTGGCCTCAGTTCTTCCGCTGCTAGGGAGCAACAGGCAACTGCAGTCCTAGCAGATCCCTCACCCAGCACCACTGCTGTTTAATGTCGTAGGCTATTTTGTTCCCATGGTGCTGGCTGGTCAGGCGGGTGCCGACGTGGCTCCCGTTGCTCCTGCAATGCTCGGAGGGTGCTCTGCCAGTGTCTGTGGTAATGCTGGGAGAGCAAATGACTCACCTGCCCCAACCTTGTTTCTGTGACAGTTTAAGACATGAAATGAATAAACTGAGGGCGGAGGGAAGGCAGGGCAAGGAGAAGCGCCAACAGAGAGAAACTCCATCTCCCCTAGGAGTAGGCAGAGGTGAGTCAGCTGAGCCTCAGCCTTTTCTCTTTGCTTAGGCAACTCACAGAGCAAGGGAAATATTCGCGCAGCTCAACACCCTCACGCCCTGGTCTGCAGGCCTCTGAGGTGTCTCATGGTGGGGACAGGTGGCACAGAGAGAAGTATGTAGTCAAGGCAAGGGGAGCAGTGCTGGGTGTTGTCAGCCTCCCTGCCCTGCCTATGGGACTGAAGAGCTGGTGCAGACCCTTCTGACTGGCACCCAGAGTCCTTTTCGCCCTGCGGTCTCCAAGCCTGGCTTTGACCCCGGGCGTGCAGATCGCTTACTTTGCGGTGTTGATATGAGTGTGACTGGGCGGCCCCTTAAGTCACAGCAAAACTGAACTGAGTCCTGATCTTTAACACCTGGCGCCACCTCCCAGGTCTGCTCCATGCGTGTTCTAGGCTGATGGGTGGTGGTGGGTTGATGATGATTTGGGCTAGAGGTTGCTTTATAGAAGGAGAGGGATCAGCCCAGCCCAGCCCTTGTCAACCCTCCTTGTTCTGGTATTACCGGCTTTGCTGGTTCTCTGCAAATGGCACAGCCGCTGTCTTTGCTCAGGCTCTCGAGCAGGACAGGAGAAATCCATCCCTGCTCTCTGGCATTGGGGGTGGCAACCTGACTGGGAGGGACTCCAGGGAATGGGGCTGAGATTTGGCGCTCTCCTCGCCACACATGCAAACTTTGCCAAGTCTTTGCTCGGGTTACTGATCTCCTTCCTGCTGCCAGGATGAACCGAATTGCTGCTCGGTCGCGCTGCTGAATTTTGTTTTGTGATGATTCAGGCCAGGGTCAGAATAAGATGAGAAGCAACCTGCTCTGGCTCTGCAGGATGCGACTGCAAAGCTTCTAGTGCAAGGGTAGAGTGTGACTTGGAGGGGAGAGCAGGGGGCTCCATGTACGCAGTGCCCCCCACATGCTTTCGCTCTGGAATTGGGCAATTCTGATGTGCCTGGGGGAATCTGGGCCTTGATGAGTCTCTGTTTTTTCAACCTTCACCTGAAAGTCCCCTGGTACCTTCTGGGTTAGACAGGTGGGAAATCTGGCCGAGCAGAAAGCTCTGCATTTATCTGCGCCTGCTTTCCTGGTGGAGTCCGAGGGGAGTGCTGTAGGGAAGTCAGGGCAGTAGCTGTGTGTTGTGCTGCTGGACCCAAATGCCGTGTACCTTCTTCCTGCTTGTTGTCACCCTGTGCTCCCTGTGGTGCTGGGTCCTAGGGTTTGGGACAGAGTACTCCTCTTCCCAGGGAACTGCCTCCTCTGCGGAAAGCCTGAGGCCGTGCTTGCCAATCACTCCAGGTTGTGGGCAACCTTCCCCTGGCACGAGGTGGGGAGGCGCCTCACAGAAGAAGAGGTGGCTTTGGCAGGTTGGCCGGAGGGGGCCAGGATCCCAAGCCGTTGTCTTGCTAGTATTTGTTTGAGTTAGTGAGCCTACTAAATCCTGACCAGATTCGGTGCCAGGCTCCTGGCTGGTTCTTTCCATTATTTCCCTCTAGCCACAAGAGGTGGTAACGTGGAGTGCTGCATCCCCCGCTTCTCAGCAAGTCACACCAGGAGAACGGGTGAGCCCACAAGGAAGATGTGCAGTGAGAGAGCAGGTCTCTCTCTGATGCTGATCTCTGTGACTTATTCTGGGCACAGTCCCTTGGGGTGGTTCAGGCGGGGGCCGCGGAGTCTGTACTCACTGCGTGGCTTCTTTCACAGGCTCCGAAGAGATTCACATAGATGAGAAAACCATCAGCCCCCACCTGACCCTGTCAGAAGACAAGAAGACCCTGACGTTCAGCCCCAAGAAAGCAAAGGTATACTTGGACTGTCCCGAGCGATTTGACCACTGGCCCAATGCTTTGGCTACCACGGCCTTCCACACAGGAGTTTGTGCCTGGAGGATCAGCGTGGAAAAGAGCTGTGCCTACAAGCTGGGGGTTTCATACAGCTCGCTGCAGCGTAAGGGCTCCGGCAACGAAGCCCGCCTGGGTTACAATCCTGCCTCCTGGGTCTTCTCGCGCTATGACAGAGAATTCAGGTTCTTGCACGCTGGTCACCAGCAAACTGTGGAGCTGATCAAGTCTCCAGCAGAGCTTGGCGTGCTGATTGACTTTGCTGGAGGGGAGATGCTCTTTTATGACCCTGATTCCTGTGCCATCCTCTTCTCCCACCGGGAGACCTTCACTGCGCCCCTCTATCCTGTCTTTGCTGTGGCCCACCAGAGCATCTCCCTTGTGCACTAAGTGAAGCATTGCACTGGCTGGGGGTGGGGGAGCAGACCTCTATGATAATATATATTTGTATACACGATATACAGTCTCTTCATTTAATGCAGGGAGCCCAGATGGGGCTAGCAGCTTGCATGCGGTGGCAATCGGACAAGGCCTTCAAACTGACTGCCTGTTCCTTGCTTGTTTTATGGCAACTCCCTCCCTTCTTCTAGGCTACCTAGTTACCCTGCGTTTGCCCTGCAAGATCCAACTATTAGCCAGTCCTGTAGCCAGGACCTCGAATTTCAAGGGGAAGTAGGAACAGTTCCTGATGTATCTGAGAACTTACTGCTGTGTTCCTGAGCCCTGCAGGAAGCAACTTGTGCATGAAGGCACGTGAACCGATGGCCCCAAGCTTTGTTTGCTACCCATTTATTGGGCATGACGCTTCTGTGCCAGGAACTCGCAGGTTGTGCTCTCAGTGTAACTGTGCTGCCAGCTGCCCTGCTTTGGCCAAATACTTTTTTGAGCATTCCCTGTTCTGGATCTGCCCTTGCAAAATACAGCCACCTTCACTTCAGTGCTGCTGGCCAGAGGAGTGCTCTACTTGGGACCGATTATGCCAGAAATGGAGAAGAGCTGTCTACTCAGGCTTCCTGCCCGAGTCCAGTTCAGTATTGCGAGGTCTTGGAATTGATTGTCACAGCACCTGGCAAAAGTGCTGTCATTTTGTTTCCTGGGGCAGCAGCTTGGTGGGACGCTTGCTGAGGTTTCAGATAAAGAAGCAGGGGGCTGTGCTTTGCAGCTGAACTCCTGCCCTCGGGATCCTGGGGAGACCTGAGCTGCTCCCCTTCCCAGTGTGACGTTTCCTGCTACGTCTCCGTGGCTCAGGGCGAGGCTCTGCCGAATCCGTACGCGGCCTCATCACTGTAGCCCACCCAGGGCAGAGGTAGGGCAAAGCGCAAGAGGATCAACTGCTAACTTCGCAGCAAGACACTGAGCTCCCCTAAGACCTGCCAGCTCCTCTGGGCCCAGGCTCTGGCATGAGGAGGGATGGGGAAATTGGAGGCGTTATTCCCTCCTCGCCGCTGCTATTTGCAGGGCAGCGTGCAGGATTCCTGGGTGCGCTCTGCTGGCAGACCTGCCCCTGGGAAGGGAATAACCATGGCTCTGCAGGCGTGCCAGCACAGAGTTGTGCGGGAGCCCCCTCCCCAGGGTGGGGAACAGAGACGGAATTAAGTCTAGCATCTGTCTCCATCCCTCCCTGTTAGAGTTAGCGTTCTGGAGTCTCTCTGGATGACCCCAGGTGAAACACTTTCTGCTCTGTACCCAGTTCCCAGCTCTGTTAGGGGAAGACGGCACCATTAACCCTCTGCTGTAGTGTTTTGAGCGCTATGGAAGAAAATGGCATGAAAGCAGAGGATGTCAAATATGCTTTATTGTATTAATGCCCCTTCTACACAGTGGGGCAGGCCATGGGGAGCGTTCCTCCCTGTGCACGGAAGGAAGCACTAGCGTCTCGCTCAAATGGCAGCAAGAAGTCAAGCGCTAGGAACATCAACCGCTCAGCAGCAGCATTGGTCCTTCTTGGAAACGCAGCTACCTCAGCTAACCCTTTTCAACAAGGGCAAGGAGGTGGCTGAGTGAAAGCAGGACATGCTCCTGCGGTACCTCCAGCTCCCCTCGCCGCCCAGCAGCCGAGAGCAGAAAGCTGTGCATGCCTGCCTCCCTGGCTGCCCTGTAATCCCTCACGTAGTCATCGCCCACGTGAGCCGCCTGCCCTGGCCGAACCCCGCAGAGGCGCAGGGCTTTCTCAAAGATCCTCTTGTCTGGTTTGGCGAAACCTGCATCCTCGGAGGTCAAGACAAATTCAAAATGGTGCCGCAGGTCACACTGCGACAGAATCTTTTCAAGCCGCTTATCGAAGTTGGAGATCACCCCCATTCGGAAGCCCTGCTTGCAGCACTGACTTAATGTCTCGTTGGCTCCTGGCAGCACTTCCCAGGTGTGTGCACTGCAGAAGTCCTGGTAGAGGTTTTCTGCCATCAGCGTGAGGACTCTTTCTTCGTGCACCCCTGAGAGTCTGAAGGTCTGTTTGACAACATCTACCCACCGCTGCTTGGAAGTCAGTCCCTGGCGCAGGCCGTAATTGGGGAAGTGCTTCTGCTGGGCTTTGTAAGCCTCACGGAAAGCTTTATTGAGCGCCTCCGGCTGCACCTGGACTCCATGAGTCCGGGCCTCAGCTGAGTAATTGTCTCCCACTGGCTGCCGAAGCCGGAGCAACGTATCTTTCACATCCCATGTTAATAAGCGTAGTCTAAGCATTGCTTCAGTGAAGCTTAGGGCTAAGGAAAACCTAAAACAAATGCAGAGGTAAGAGCCAGACGAGTGCTATTACACGTCTTTCCTGCAGACTACCGCAGCGCTGTGTGCAGCAAGGTGCACTGCTGAAGACACGTCTACGTCGAGCGTGGCTCACGTCCGGGGGACGACTGGTGGGCACCAGGAGGTGTGGGGGTGAACCACGTCTTGGCGGACAGCACATCGCTGGCCTCGCAGAGGGGCTCAGGCCCCCCGTTATGGGGCTGGCATCGAGCGGCCACGGGGGAGGGAGGCCCAGCTCTACCCC